GAAAAAAACAGAAAAATTATGATAAATTTTTGAAAAAGATAAACGGAAAAGGGGTCTGTGAATACCTTCAGTGACCAGATTGTCAATTTGCGATTTGCATAAATTTAGTGATCTCATATTTCAAACACTCATAATTTTATTATAATTGGTCCGATTTATTACATACTTTTGCCATTCTGGTCCTCTAATTGTTCTTCTTTCATTTAAATGGGATTAATACAAGATTTGGATTGCCTTTTAACTAGGAATGGAGGAAAAGGAGGAGAAGGAGGGGATTGGTGTGTGTGTGTGTGGAGGGGGGGGGGGGGTTGAGAAGGTGGGGGGGGGGGGGAGATACATAAATTTCCAAACCCAACACACTCTGGCAATTTAAAAACAAGTTAGAGACGTGTTTGTCAGTGTAACAACTGCAGCAATTGTGGCTAACAAATAGCTGAAGCCTAAATCCCTAAACTGAATTAACCTTCTGTGACATTTTACCAGATCCCACAATTTTGTGAAAACAACTCAGGTTTTTTCTTCTTTTTTCCTCCTCTTGTTTTAGTTTTATGCTCTCTTTCTGTCTTCTCTTATTCTTAATTTGAGCATGATTTATGCATCATGCTGTTTGTTTGGTTCTCTCTCTCTCTCTCAGTTTCTTCTTTATTTGAGCTGCCTTTTCCTATTATACACCACAACTGTACATATTTGGTTGTTCTATTTAGTACCTTTTATCACCAACTAACTGCACTTTTAGTTCATTTTTAAAATTAAAAACCTCCAACGAATACAATAATGAAAAACAATATTTAAAATGCAGACTTGATTTGGAACACTATGGTGTGGTGTATTTATTGCTTGACCTTCAGATAGGTCGAAGGTTGTAATCTCCACTGATGCTATGTCCTTAAAGGGATCCGGTAACTTTGTCTCAGATTCTGAAATAAAATTCTGGATTTAGCTCATGATGCAATGATAATTATAAACCTTAAGGTCAGTCAGGAGCCCCATGACTTTTACAAGCCGATCGCCTGTCTGATTATCAAGATATTTATGATTGGAATTACAAATTTTGAAAACCGTTCGCCTGACGGTTTTCATAACACTACAGTCTATTGGGGAAAACGAGTATGGTAAAACCGGTCACTCAAAGATTTTTGCTTTTTTGAGGCACTTTTTGATCATTTTGAAGCGCAATTTTTTTAGGGCTTCAATATTACACCATATCACAGACACTGATAACACGTAGGGCCGTGTATCTCAGATTTAACATTGTTAAACGATCCCTTTAAGAGAAAGCATTTTATCCTCTTTTTTTTTTCTTTCTCGTCTCTTGGAAATTACAAGTACTGCCAGGCATTTTCATTGCATTTATTTTTTACAGATTAATATGATCTTTTTATTTAGCAGAAATCTATCAACCCAGTAATACTAAAAGTTGAGTGTAAGAAATAGAGAAATGAACGTAATAATGGATCAACATACAGCAGCATAAGGTGGAGAAGAAAGAAATGAATTATTACAGGCCGAGAATCCATGAAATACCGGTAATACATACTTTCTACTGCAACAGTAATCTTGTTCATATTGGACAAGACATTATGTTTATTGATACATATAGTTTATTCAAGTAGACCTCACCGGTAAATCAAAATTCTAAAAGTACCCTTTATCAGAGAAGAGAAACATTTGCCACCTACATTTATTTTAAAGTGTACATAAAAAACATTTGTATTAATCTTATAAACTCCTTGTGGTGACATGAACGACATGGGATTTTCCAGAGAAAGGGACATCGCTTCAAACTCTTGTTTCCTTCTTGACTTGTCACCGAGGCAGCTCCTCGCCCAATTTGGAACCCACTTACCGCCTCTGCTGGGTGCTAGCTCGCCCCTTAACACGGGACGGCAGGTGCACGGAGGGGACCTGCTGTGCCCTCCCGCACCCCTCCATGTCCCCCTCTTCCACCCCTCTGCCTCAGTCCCATCAATTCATCATAGCCAGGGAGACTGGACTTGACCTGTACATTATGTGTTTGTCACATTGTTGCAGAATGAGTGGAGCCGTGTCGAGAGAAAGAACGTCCCCTGTAAGAAGTTGACCCCTGTCTGGTCGTTGCACATGGTGCTTTTGTTGGCCAAGTGGTGTGAAAAACCATAGCACGGATGTAATTCCATTGTCTGTTTTATTCAGTAGCTACTAGCTATTATCATCCTTATTTGGTATCTATCAATTATTCTTAGTAAAGTCAAAATCTTAAAGGAGCAGTGAATAACAACACCATGGTATATTGTACTTTCTTCTCAGGCAAGATAGCGAGTATTTTTGAAAATATGGGGACACAATTTGAGCTGACCGCAGATCAAATCAGATTTGGTTCTCTCGCCCCTTAACACGGGACGGCAGGTGCACGGAGGGGACCTGCTGTGCCCTCCCGCACCCCTCCATGTCCCCCTCTTCCACCCCTCTGCCTCAGTCCCATCAATTCATCATAGCCAGGGAGACTGGACTTGACCTGTACATTATGTGTTTGTCACATTGTTGCAGAATGAGTGGAGCCGTGTCGAGAGAAAGAACGTCCCCTGTAAGAAGTTGACCCCTGTCTGGTCGTTGCACATGGTGCTTTTGTTGGCCAAGTGGTGTGAAAAACCATAGCACGGATGTAATTCCATTGTCTGTTTTATTCAGTAGCTACTAGCTATTATCATCCTTATTTGGTATCTATCAATTATTCTTAGTAAAGTCAAAATCTTAAAGGAGCAGTGAATAACAACACCATGGTATATTGTACTTTCTTCTCAGGCAAGATAGCGAGTATTTTTGAAAATATGGGGACACAATTTGAGCTGACCGCAGATCAAATCAGATTTGGTTCTCTGTGTGAGGAGATGGTTACACACACCATCCCCACCGCACCTCATCCTCTTACCAAACTCATCATGTTCCTGTCTGATGGCCCATGCACCCTCCTCTCCCTCTTCCCCCCCCCCCCCCAATTCAGACAAGAAAATGTTTGTTTTATACCTGGTATACTGTGCAATTGGAAACAATAGCCAGTTCAGCCATCAACAAATAAATGTTAAAAGCTGGTCACACCAGCAGTCCCTGTATTATGAGAGTCCCAAACAGGCCAATCAAATGAGTTTGCTGCTGCTGCTTCTGCTCAGATCATGTCATGTATCATTACTCTATTAATAGCGATAACAAAAACTTGTATGAACATCTTATCACATGATAATGACAGTATAAATGGGTGTGGCTTATCATGAATACCTAATGATTGAAGAGAACATTGCATGGGTAGACGCCAGCAACTGACAAGCAATCGACAACCTAATCACATCACTAAAAAACAATATCCCAAGTTGCTTATCTACATGTATGGATACAACATTTCTTATGATATTCTTTGTATGCCCCTTTGATATTTCCTTATTATTTAAGAATGTTTCTTTATACAATGTTTCCTCTTGTCTGAAAGGGTGCCAAGTTTTCCTGGAAATAATAATAAATGCTCGCAGTGATACGCTGATTAGCACAGTGTTACATGCGGAATGTGAATGATCATTATGTGGTGAAGATCGAATACCCCAACACGAAGGCGGAGTCTTGTCCTCATTTGAACGTCTCATTAGCCAGCACATGAAGGAGAGTTCAGGGATATGTTCACATTCTAAATTTAATCCTGTTTAGTCTGTCATTTAGGGAGGGAGGGAGGGGGATGTACATTTATAGGACCATAAAAGACGAGACTAAATATGAAGAAACAATGAAACATGGTTCATAGATATGAAATTACATGAAAATGCACAAGAGAACACTATTCAACTGACCCTCCTAACCCCCGCCCCCCCCCCCCCCCCCCAAAAAAAAAAAAAAAAAAACACGAGAAAATTTGTTGTCTATTCGGAGGCAGAATGAGAAGGGTGTTACACTGTATATTTAAATCTCTGTATTAATAAGGTAATATGTTCCACCATATTATATGAGGGAGAGAAAGAAAGATATAAAAAAATACATTTCAATCACATAAACTAGGTTACATCTATCTACCCTGACATGGTGCACTCCAGCTTCAAGTGCAATTTAAATTCTATTTCCTGTTTTTTGCATCCGTCATGATTCTTTGGGAAAATGTCTCATTTCTTGGTTGGATGATGAATGGCTTGTAAAATGCAATTGGAAGCAGGGAACTTTCACTTCCTTCCACATTGAAAATGGATAAAGGGTTTCCTCATATCGTCTGTTTGAAGCCAGAACAGAGTTAATGCCCTTCTGGCTCTGAACTGACTTGGGTATGTTTATGCTCAATTTTGAAGGCAGAATGAGCGATTTGAAACGCTCATCGTAATCGCAGTTCCATGGTGTACTGTTTATGCTCACTTCTCTGGCTCCTCCAGGCATGATTCTGGCTCCTATAGGCATGATTCTGGCTCAGAGCCACAATCATGCCTGGAGGAGCCAGAGAAGTGCAGGGCAGTGCAGAGTCTGCAGGTGGATTCGCAAACCTGCACTGCGCATGCTACGTTGATCCCATTTAAACACGTTTACAAACGATTGTGCGTTTATGCTTCTCTAGAATTGCCGATCCAAAACGCACCTTTTTCTGAGTTTTCGATCTGCGTTTTTCTGTGATTCTACAAAAATGAGAAAGGACGCAACCGTGTTTTGAACTAAACGCGTAACAAATGCCTCATTCTGGCCCGAAAAATTTGAGCATAAACGTACCCTATATGCCCTCACGGTGACGATATGGTAGAAATAATCCCCAGGGAGTGGAAATTGTGCGTGGATGAATCCTATGACCGGGGTTATAATATCTGTAATCTTATCTTAGAGATGGTACCGGTATTCAGTATTATGCGCTACTACTACTAAATGTTACTACTTCTACTACTTCTACTACTATTACTAATACTACTACTACTTCTACTACTTCTACTACTACTACTACTACTACTACTACTACTACTACTTCTACTGCTACTACTACTAATGTGCTTTTACATTTTGTTTTACAGAGCTAAAGCTAGAGAGGGCATTGCTGCAGTATCAGTGAGGTCTACCGATCAGGAAGAGTGGAACACGCTGTCTATGGTCAAGCAGGAATCTTTCGCCATGGTAACGGCCGAGGGTTTGAGATCCGCTGCAGATGCCTCCACCACTGACAGGTAAGGGTTTGATTGCCTTTTAAGGAATGGAATATATTGTGGAACAAATCTGAGAGGATGTTGTCCTCCTCTGGTCTGTTTGGAATCGGTATACATGGACATTGTAGTAGCATCTGTGAAACGTTACAACAAAAAACCTCCCTGCTACACATCCCACCCCCCCCCCCCCCCATCATTTGCTTTTGACAGTTGCAAAGGTGAGAGGAATACATCTTTGAGATTCTATTTTCCCTGTTCAGGCTAGGAAAATTTGTTTTCTTGCTATACAAAAACTACAAAGCTATAGGCCTATATGATGAGTACTTTATTGTTTTCCATACTGCAGTTCTAAACACCATATAACGAAACGTTGTGTAATGAAACATATAGCTACACTGATGTTCAAGCATCGTTTCTAAGGATAAAGAATCGGGATCCACTGCTATTTTGAAGGGGCATATCCTACGAAATCTGAATAAATGGGCAGGGCTTGTCATGAACGCACACTGACGATTGGCCAGCCGTCATCTCAGTTGATACTAAGAAATTTCCTCTAGTCCGAACAGACGATTAGATACAGAATGAGAGAAATCAATCCTGCCTTGATTCCGCTGAGAAGTCCAGCTTGGTCGGTCGGTCGGGTGACAAGGAGAAGGTGTGCCAAGCTCTCGATTGAGCCCCTAAATTGAATTTCTTTTTTTTTTGATGGGGAGCAAAGAAAAAGACGAGATTGGAAACTGAATGACACCCAACTGAAACCATATGTCTCCAAGTGCGTAGAGGGAGAGAGTCCCTGACAAGAGACGTGTCGCTAGACTTGGTTCTAGGATCATCATATCCATAATGGATGTACCATTGACTTGACGAGTACAAGATTAATTTAACGTTAAAGTTTGTTTCCTTAAAAACTCTGCTGTAGAGTGACTCTCAATTTGAGTGCAGTCTCCTACAAGTGTAGATTTTGTTTTGAAGGAAGGGCTTCCACTTCCAGTCACAGTCAGTACCACAAAAATTTCAGTCTACTTACAACATTTGTTGTACAATCATGATGCAAAATGACTGAAACTTCCAGCTGTATCTCTTGAATTGGCAACTGTATCAGAAACAAGAAGATATATCTTGGCTAGACTGTATGTGCTTATGAATTTTCTGCTCACTAATTTGCTTTTTATTTGAAAACGTATGTGATTCTCTCTTTAGGTAATATGTAAAATATTTTTCATCCGGCTTTTTGTAGTTTGCTGATTGATGTGAGCACAATGAATGTAAAGGGCTAGTTTTGGCAGACTACGGGGGTCGTGTGGTTATTTTGTTGCCAAAAGCGCACCAAATACCTGTATCCATGAAGGGTTTGAGTAATAGCGAGCCGACCTGAGCAGGCCGAGAAGAAAGAGGTGGAAAATCTCGCTTTCTCCCTGTGGCGTAACCCAAGTCCCCGCAATCAGTGGAACGTAATTGGAGTCATGTGAGCCATGCTTGTGAGGCAGTATCAAAGATGACCGTTGGGAGATGAGAGAGATGAGGAGAGAAGAGAGGGGGAGGGAGATGTGGTGAAGGTGAGGTAAGGAGGGGTGAGGAGGAGAGGAGTGAGAAGGGAAAGGGGAGGGGTGAGGAGGGGACGAGATGGTTGGATGAGAGTGCAGGGAGGAAGGATGGAGGAGGGAAGGAATGGAGGGGAAAGAAGAAGGAAGAAAGAGGAGATGAGGAATGGGACATTGTGAGAAGAAAGAGAATGAGAAGGAGAGAGAGAGAGAGAGAGAGAGAGAGAGAGAAAGGGGGGGGAGTTGATTGGAAGAGAGAGAGATAGAGAGAGTGCAAAATTCAGAGAGTGGGAAGAACAAGGAGGGAATAAAAGACCTATGTGTACATTGTACATCCACATATTAAATGCAGAGATGATTAAGGAGGGAAAGTTGGAAAAGGAGGATGAGACCACTTTCGTCTTGATACAAAACCAATGTCTAAGAAGTAGGAACCCATTTTGGGGAATGGGGGAAGATATGATATGAAGAAATGAGATTTATAATTTCAAATTTTCAATGGTAGAAAAGGGGGAGAAATGGTTAGATTGCGTCAGTATATCCTTCGTTAAATGTAAGCCTGCGGAGAGAGTGAGAGAAAAAGAGAGAGAGAGTGAGAGAGAGAGAGAGAGAGAGAGAGAGCGCACATTGACCCGAGACTCTTGACCTCACAGCATGGTTTAGTCATGGACCTAGTCCAATGCCATGAACCTTGCAATTTCCCCATCTTTCTTCACTCCCAGTCTCCACGTATCAGTCTTTGGACATATCAAGACATTTGCTATGTCCAATTTCTGAGCTTTATTTTGCCAAAGGTATAGTGTTAGGGTTAATAGGGTTGCAAATGGGTGTTAGGTTTAAGGTTAGGGTTAGGTATACATGTGTTTGATCCACCACTGAAGTTAGGAATTTGGATAGTGTAGGAAATTGGTGCAGAGCAAGTTCGCAGGAGCAAGTTTCATACATGTGCCTGTTAGTGTCAGTCCCCCCCCCCCCTCTGCTTTTCGATTTCCTTCTCCAACCTCTCCATCTTTCTCTCTCTCTCTCTCTCTCCCTCTTTCTCCTCTCTTACTGTTTTCTCTCACTCCATTCTCTCACTCGTTTGCCATCCCTCTCCCACCAAGTAATTCTCTTTTCCTGTTAATCTCATATCTTTTGTACCTTTCATCTATTATTTGAATGATGTTCGGGATTAAAGAGCTGAACTTTCTATTTCCTTCCTTTTTCCGTCGCTTAGATTCACATACCGTACCCACACACATAGTGACATACACCAGTTTGCCCCCTTTTCCCTTCGTAGTTCCCAGTCTGTTGTTTTCTCATTTCCACTCACTGCCAAGGTGCAGAGTGAAAGGATATTTGATGGTTCTGCATGCTCTGACTGAAGGACTTGACTCAAATAAGGGGGTCATACAAATTACCTGATTGTGGACTCCAGTTGCAGCAGTGGTTACAGTAATTTACTTTGGAATTTGGTCGTTATTTTCTGATGTTAGGGGGGGGGGGGGGGGTTAGAGTTGGGTCAGTCATAGATCTAGAAGCACTGTTCCTGATTTGCTGAACTTGTAGTATAGGGAGACTGAACTTTCAGAAAGATATTAAAGGTCACAGGAGGAGAAGGGATTATGGGGAACCAGGCATTGTGATGCGTTTTTAGATAGAGGATGAGAATTGAGGGTGAATTGCCGTTTGGTCTACAAGTAGGTATACTACCCAATTAGCCTATTCCCATTTGGTCTACACCCAGCCCGTCTACTATCCACATAGTGTAATAATCTTTTGGTCTATTATTCATTAAGTCTAATAATCAGTTAGTCTAATATAGTCTAAATGCACATTTGATATTATCTACCATCCATAAGGTATAATAATCATTTGATGATGATTATTTGTTATGATTATAAGATCATATGAATAGTCAGACAAGAGAAAAAAACTTGTCTTTGGTTCAATAATCTACACAACATGTTGCTGCCTGTATATGACAGGTAATCCACTTTTTAGTGTGAACATGGTAGGCCAGGAATACCAAGTCGCAAAACATAAAATGAAACAGATTTTTTTGGCACCATTTTAAATAAAAACTTGCTGTAGAATGAGCTAGACTCACATGAATGTCATACTGATTGTTGTGTGAGTGAACTGTGTAAACTACCTTGCACATCCCTCCAAAAACGAGTGTCCTTTTTTACAAAGTTGATGCAAAATTAATCTTGCTTGTATGTCTCTTTATTGCTTCACCGCTGTTAAATATTTCTTTCAGTGATGTTTCTTTGTACAAATTTTTCCCTCGTGTGAAAGGGCTGCAGTTCAGGTAGACACCTATCCTCTTGACTGAGGAGAAAGAGAAAAAGATCAGCCACCATCTGTTGCTAAGTGTCGGGTGATGAAATAGAAAACAAGAGGGAATGCGAATGCCCAAGAATCGAGTGAACGCACAAATATTCCTACACAACTCAACGTTCACATCTACATGTATATATCTGGGGTGTTTTATGGGTTCTTTCAGGCTTCATCATTTAAACTCACATTGCCAGCTATGGCATACTGTTTCTCGTCAAGCATTAAAAGCAGCAATATGTGATTGAGTTCTGTTCTCTCGCAGCTACGTTCATAAGACATTGGCTTATGTTGAACTTGTTGGATGTGGGATATCAATAGGGGCTGGGAAGTGGAGACCTAATAATACAGTGGTAATCTAGTCAGTGGGAAAGTTCCTTACAAAGTTCATACAACCCCATTACTCGCATGTCTGATAGTCAAGCTCTGAATCGAGTTTGTTTAATCGAACTCTCCACCCTTGTGTGTTTCATTTACCCCCCTCTCTCCCTTCCTCCCTCTACCTCAATCTATCTCTCTCTCTTTCTCTATCTCTATATCATATCTTTATCTATCTTGTTGTATTTCTCTTGAACTTTTCTCTCTGTGTACATTTATATGTGTCACTTCCTTTATCTGTCTCTGTCTTTTCTCTTTCTCCACCTCCCTCTCTGTCACTCTGTCTCTCACTCTCCCTGTCTGTCTCTCTCTTTTTCTGTGTATGTGTATATACGCATGTGCGTGTGTGTTTGTCCCTCTATCTCTTTACATGTGTATCTCGCTGACAATCTCTCACTCTCACTCTCTCTCTGCAGCCCTGAGGAGAACCCTCTAGTGTTTGTGATGGAGTTTGAAGTGCTGAACGACACGGACGCGGCCACGAACCCGGCCACGCACCTTGTCATCAACTGGAGAGTGGACTGTAGTCTCCGTGGCGATGCAAGAGCTTCCCGCTTCAGCACCGACATCACTATATCGGACAACTGGATACAAGCTATTGTGCCTGTTTCAAAGGTATAAAGTTTATTCAGATTCAGATTCTCGATTCATAGTTTAAACAACACAGAAAATTAGTGTCCACTAGCATTGCAGGAATACAAACCCTCATGCAATACGGTCATCTTTGCAATTAAACCTCTTTATTTTCTTTGGTGTTGACTCTTTCTTTTATTGCTCTTTTTGCAAAGCTTCTAATGAACTTTGGAACAAAAACTGTCTGACTGTCAAGTGTCAACCAATAAAAAACTTATCTTAAGACACATTTATTCAAAATTGGTTTTGATGATTAACTTACTTTGTTCACATTACTCCCACTATACCCCTCTCTTTCTCTCTCTTCCTACCTCCTTTTCCCCTCTCTCTTCCACTCTCTCTCTCTCCCTCCCCTCTCTTCCCCCTACTTTTCTTTCTCTCCCCCTCTCTCTTGCTCTCACTCACAATTCTTTACGTTTTCTGGTGTCTCAGGGGAGGAGTATCATGAACACTGCCTTCCTCACAGGTCAAGAGGTCACAATGACCCTTGACATCGGGGTCGTGACCTTTCTGGGTGATGTGATGGATGCTGCAGGCCTTGCCAGATGTCGAAGTACAGACACAGATATCCTCAAGGTATCAACAATTCAACCTGTTCTTCATTTTTAGTATATTTATCTGAATGCTTTTGATTGACCTCTTATAAAGGTGAAAAACAGCTTTCCCATTCCTTTTTTTTTTTTTTTTCTTTTTCTTCTTTTTTTTTTCTTTTCTTTTCTTCTTTCATGGAGAAGAACTTATACTATTATTGCTCCATGAAAATTACTGCTCATGAAATATATTACCAAACGTAGCTGAAAACTTGGGACAACATTTCGATTCCACGTGTGCATGTTGTGCCATGTATGTATCTATATCTGTGTGCAGTGCATTTTATTGTCTGTTTTTTTTATAGCAGGATTGAGCAAATTTGTTGTCATTTAAACATTTTGAAAACCTGAGAAAACATAATGCAATGAAATGATTAAGTAATTTGCTAGAAAAAAAAGTTAAGAATGGTTATAGTGTCAATTGGATTGTCTCACATGTACTGTTAAACTCAATATAACGCTGATAACGTTTGGTTTGTTAACAGGTCCGTCGAAGCTGCGCCAATGTGTACGTAGATGGCACAGAGACCTCTGGTTCAGAGAGCACCAGTGTTCATGTCAGCCTGCAGGATCACGAAGCGACCATCATGTTCAGCGTCTGGGTCCCAGAACTACCCATTAGATTGGACATCTCTGACAGCAAGCTTAGCACCATCAGAGGATGGAAAGTTGCGGGAGGCAGACAGGATGGGTAAGTAACCCCCCCCCCTTTTCCCTCCGCCGTCCCCTTCCTCTTCCCTTCCCCTTCCCTTTCAGTTTCCCTTCCCCCTCCCCTCCTCCTTCGTCCCTCTTTCCCTTCCCCACTTTTTCCTTTTTCGTCCTTTACCTCCCTATCCCTTCACCCTCTCCATCCTCCTTCCTCTTACTGTCCCCTTTCCTCTTCATCTCTATCCCTCACACTCAATCTCCTCCCTTCACTCTCCTCCCTTCCCCTCCCTTCCCTCTCCTCCCTTCCCTCTCCTCCCTTCCCTCTCCTCCCTTCCCCTCCCTTCCCTCTCCTCCCTTCCCCTCCCTTCCCTTTCCTCCCTTCCCCTCCCTTCCCTCTCCTCCCTTCCCCTCCCTTCCCTCTCCTCCTTTCCCCTCCCTTCCCTCTCCTCCCTTCCCCTCCCTTCCCTCTCCTCCCTTCCCTCTCCTCCCTTCCCTTTCCTCCCTTCCCTCTCCTCCCTTCCCCTCCCTTCCCTCTCCTCCCTTCCCCTCCCTTTCCCTCTCCTCCCTTCCCCTCCCTTCCCTCGCCTCCCTTCCCCTCCCTTCCCTCTCCTCCCTTCCCCTCCCTTCCCTCTCCTCCCTTCCCCTCCCTTCCCTCTCCTCCCTTCCCCTCCCTTTCCCTCTCCTCCCTTCCCACAAATTGTGAACTTTCTCATTCCTTTTATATCACTTTGGAAGAAAATCCGAACAAAAATGTCTCCTGATCAGGATTGCTCTTAAAATGCCCTCATATTCTAAAAATGATGAGAAAAAGCAGAAAAGTTTAGTCCAATGACCATCCCATATGTGTGTGCGTAGTCCCATATACTAATTCCCTTGTGCAGTGCATGTGAATTAAACCAAGACCGAGACCATTTTTTTTTTTAATTTGATGTTTCCAAAACCTTACAGTACATACACCAATTCTCATGTACTACAAAATCAACTTTTCCCAATTACTTTACAAATACAAAAATTCTATTTTCCTCAGTTGTAATTGCAAGAAAAAGAAGTGAATTTTATTTTTGAACACGTTTTTTAATTTGTACTTCATTTACTCATCAATCAGAGGGATTCTGGAGCCAGAGCAGATGCTGAATGGAGATGGGGAGACCAGTAAGAAGAACGCCTGTCATCTCAGATACCAACAAGCCAAGATAGCCATCTATACCAGGTTCTATGCACCCAATGCAAACTCAAGTAAGTAGACAACTTTTAATCTCTTCAGGGTTCCCAGCTCTCTTAGAAATCAGGAAAATGAGTCTCTTTTTTTCTATCAGTCAGGGGAGAGGTCAAGGAATGTTTGAGAAAAATCACCTAAATGAGGGAGAAATAAGGGTGTTTTACTGGCTCCAAAAAATGTAGGTAATGTCATGTATTTTGTCTTGTTTCCTAACAGCGTATCCAAAGGACAATTGGCTGTAATGGCATTTTAGAGTTTAAAATGCCTCCTGGAATTTGAAGCTCTGTCAGGGAAAAATCACAGAATTTTGTTTTCATAACTCTCACAGGAGATAATGATGGGTAGATCAAGTTGATCGAGTAGATTGGTATGGTCTTGTGGTTAGGGAGAGAAAAGCCATTGGCTTTAGCAAGCATTGAATGTCCAGGCTGTCAGCCTAGAAGGAGACGCTAGAAGAAGACATGAAAACATCTCAGGCCCCACCGAATTGGATGCGGAAGACAGGAAGGAAAAGGAAATATCCAACCCCACAGCATAAGGGGAAAAATGCTAAAAGTTTCATAGTGTATCATTTTTAAATACATAAACAAATGTTACAGTGGAAGAAAAATATCCAACATTATTCTCACTCTTAATAACATTTTTTTGACAGTGTCCCGACCTGACGGCAAGAGGATTTACCTATTTGGGGAAGAAATGGAACAGTCCATTACCAACCTAGTGAAGAATCAAATCACCGTGGTGGATCGCTCCATTGCTAGATTAGAGGGGACCAAGATCATTGCAAAGTCTCCGGGAAATACACATATTCAGGTAAAGTTTTTATTGTAGCTGTTGCAGCTGAATTTTATTAATGATGAAGTACGTGTCATTTTAAGCACTGATGTCATGATGAATGGATTGATGAGATTTTACATTACGCCGCCAGTACAATACTCAAGCATTTAAAAGTATTATTTTCTGCCAGGTAAAAATTGATCAGAGCTGGGTCAAGTGTGGCTAATGTAGATCAATGTCTTGCCAAAGGACATTAGTGCTACAACAGGGTAACAGGGGGACATAGCTTCTGAACATGACTCGTTCCAAGATAAGAAATGGGTACAGTGGTAGATCATACAGGACATTGAAGAGTTGATCACTGTCTCCTTCTTGTCATTGTTGATGCAGAGACAATGAGAGACCAGTTATCATTGAATCAGAAGTCCTAGATATAGATGTAGTTATAGATATAGTACATCAGCAGCACATTTTATAGACCCCACATTCCTACTGATCTTTTAAATATGGAGAGGTCCCACTTTGCATATACCTCAGCTACAGAAATGATGGGGGTGGTTCGTTGAATAGCTTTTGATTCCCCTTTTTGAAAAGAATACTTCTACCTGTGTCTCATGGAATGTACTTTTGGTGCATAAATGAATGATAATTACAAACCTTCATGAGCATGTATCCAGAATTTTCAATGTGTCTGTGGGTTTTACAATCTTTGTACAAATGACCTTTATCTGCAAATGTGCAAATCGTACATGCATCTACAAACTGGTTCATCGCCTTGGTATATAATCGCACCTTCACTTCTTGATGCAGGTGACGAACCCAAGAACGAAAGAGGTCCTTGGTGAATCTCCTCTGATGGTGGCAGCAGACAAGGTCAACATCGCCAACATGCAGGTCACCCTGGTATCTGGTATGGCCCTTGCAGTTCACGATGTCATAGGTCAAGGGTCAAATGTAAAAATGGCAAGCATCACTGCACTGAGTGACCTCTTTGTTGAACACCAGGTAAAATTGAAGTTCTAATGTCAATTTAATGTTTTTACTTTTTTGTGGGGGGGGGGGGGGGGGGACAATATACATTCTAAGGAGATAAGAAAGAAAAAAAAGATTAATTCTTGCCATTATTCTGCTCCAGATTATTAGCCAAGCACCTGTGAATTACCAACTGGAATTACCGGTAGGGCGTACTGTAGAAATTAATTGCCGGTGCTAAGTTTTCCACAATCTCTTGTAAATATATTGGAGACGACAAGTCCATCTTTATCCATAAAGATGGACAAAATAAAATCGTAGCCCTATCTTTTAAAGACTTGTGATTAATATAAATTGATTGCAAGTCCTCCAATCAATTGCAACCTGTGCAGATGACTGTAAATACTGTAACAAATTTGATTGATGTAATGAATACAGGCATGAAATGGGATTTCATTGTTACTGATTTTGTTTGCTCATGTACTTTCACAATTATGGTAGTTTTTATGAGATTAACAGAGATGCCAACCAGTACGATTAAATCATATTTATTACGATATTAAGAGTGAAATACGATCTTAAAATCTGAAAATAAGATTTTTCATCTTTTTTGTTCACCAAAAAAAAAAAAAAATTAATATCGTTTTTGTTTTGTTGTAAACCCATAAAAACAGCGGAATCGCATAGAAACATGAGTAAACCCCCGCAACCCCAACAAAAATTGTTTTTATGAGTAACAATTTTGTTTTTTTGTGGATATTTAGGAAGCTGTGCTGGATGCGATGATGATCTTTGACGATGGAACAAGCCTTGCTCTTCAGGATGTTGATGTTAATGATTATACCGTTGCTTTGACAACCCTAGATCCGCAGATCATCCTAGAAAGCCCAGATTCCATGCAGGTAAGGAAGGAATTTCTATCATAATTCGACTTCTGATTGCAGTATAATGATAATAATAATGATGATAATGATAGTAATTAAAATGGTAATAATGATTATAATAATAAGGAGTATGTGTAAAGCACCTTATCCATTCCGCAGAAGTGCTTGTGGGCCTGAGAGTGTATCTCAAATATGTAAACTATAATTTAGATGCAAATTGCAGTGCAGAGTAAACAAACAATATTAGTAAGAACAAAACAGTCCATACAAATTAAAAATAAGTTGACATAAATATACACTTAGGAAATATACATGAATGGCATGGATGTAACTTGAAAATATTGTATTAATCAAAAATGGTTTTGAACTGGTTTGCTTAAAGAGGAGAATTGAATGATTTTAGGGTACTTTAATAAAAATCTTACAAATATTACTTTAAATTGAATAAAAATAATAGTCTGATTAAAGGGAGTCCATTTATATTTTATAACATAATATATCTGGAAGCACTTGCAAAAGCTGAAGGGGTAGTTGAAAATAAAGAAGCTTAGACAAATCTCTGTCTTTTTATGTTATCTTTACAGGCATATCCTGGTTTAATCGCCATGGGAGAGGGCAGCACATCCATCATGCTAGAGGTTTCTCTGCCGAAGCCTTGCATGAAGCGCCGTCGTAGCAACGCCATCGTTTACGACCTCATCCCTGTCAATGTGACCTTCAATAATCCCAAGTACGCAGGTCTGATTAATACCGATCCTGCCTCTTTGCCATCCGGCACCGGCAGCCTTTGGAGGAGTCTAACCAGAGCGCCGGGTATGGTGGATTATGGGATTGTAAGGGTGAACTTTGACCTTGTGGATATCAACAATGGGAAGAAAGATTCAAGCGTGATATCTTCAATTCCGCTGGACATTGATTTCAATAATATATATCCTATGGGACAGGGCGGACATCGAAACGACAAGGCAGAGGCCTCGACAGAAGCTCCACTTGATGGAGGAAATGATGGCGGGTTGAGCGATGACAGTGATCCGTTGTCAGGCATAGAGATCGGGATGTATGTGCTGCTAAGTGTGTTTAGTTTAGCTATTCTCGCCTTCATGGTGAACTGTGTGATGTTCATGGCAAGGTACCGCAGGGCTAAGAGGATGCCGAAGACACATCAGCCGGTTCCGTACCCTCAGAACTGGGTCATGTTTGGCATGCAGGAAGAACACCCTCGCTACCCCATGGACCCTGCTGAGAACATCCCTCTAAGACACAAGGACGAAGAGGAAGGAAGCAGCCGCGATGAAGCCATCGGCACAGAGAGCGAGGTCAGCATTGAGAGACACAGCTCGGAGGAAGGCCACAGGTTACGCAGCCGCGGCACGGAGGAGACGTCGCTGATGCAAGTCCCGCGGGAACATCGCGCCAGCAGCGAGTCGCAGGATGTGGATTGCGGTGTGGTGATGGATGGTGATGATAATGAGGAAGATTCATTGGAGGGGCTCGAAGAGGCATCTCAAAATGCAGGGGAGTCTTCAAAAGAAGAATCCACTTCAGCAAGTAGTGAAAATACCAATACCAGTGATGATACAAACACAGTCGCTGCAAATGCATTCGAAAATAATTTAGAACCCATGCCAAGGGACACTTCGCCGCCGTTAAACACCAACCAGTCGAACAGTTCTTGTGATGTGAGAATAACTCTGAACCCATCGGATGACAGCATGCAGCTCAAATCCGGATTAGAAGGGATGGAAATTAGTCAGATCTTAAATTATCTTGATAACTTGAAAGAGAGTTGCACGTAGCACTTGTGTTAATGGTAATGTCGCGTTAGCTGAAAGCAATGATCCATACATCCTTGTCATTTCTCAAAGCAACAAACACCTAAAAGCCACAAGATGAGATTGAATTTGTAAAATTACGAGCCCTGTAAAAATTCAACCCACCTAATATGTTGTCTTTGGGTGTTAGTAATGAAACAGGAGAGGAAGGAGTGAAAAAGAGCACCAATGTACTTAAATAAAAGTGACAGGATAAAATAACGACATTCTGATAATAGACATCTACGCATAATGTTCATTGAGAAAGAATTGGAAGATTTCATTGCTTTTGCTTTTCACAGACATTATCATATTCATGTTTGTATGTGTCAGTGTGTATGTGTGCGCATGTGTGTCTGTGTGTTGTATGTTCATATGTACATTTTATGGGTACAGTAAGCCACGTGTGCAGGACTCTCTGTGTCATACATTGTACATTAAGATTTCATGAAATGTCATAAACTAAAAAGAAAGTGTAACATACACATATTTGCCAATGCAGTCGAGTCTCAAACAATACATGTGATGTGATCGACCGAAATCTATATTTATCATTTTTCTGTGATAAAACAAAGATATATGTATATTTTGTATTCAGCACCTAGTGCATTTGTTTTGTCGTTTTATTCACCTAACTTTTTCATTCTGAATTTGTAATTTAGATACCCCCTCTTTTGTCTAAATGTTGAGATGAATGCTGCCTCTAGCCAGTTTTTCCTTGGCATCCTGTAAAATATAATATGATATAGATTGCTCAACCTAGAAAAGTTATTGAGGCAACTTGTTTAGAGAGGCAATGTGAACATCATCTCAGTTATTGTGATTTTTCTGAATGCCAAATTAATAACAAAATATACATTAATCCCATGAAAAGCATTAGATAGGCATGCGGGAAGTTTGTGGCTTTTTATACGTGCTTCAAGAATACATAGATTTAAATCTGGACGACCCTTCATGGACATTGACAGTTTGGAACCTTTATTATACTATGCAAATTATAAGGCTATATTTCATTCTAGTGTGCTACATTTCACTTGATAATGTACATGTAAACATAATAGCTAACCACCACCTATGTATGTATAAAGAGCAGTATTTATTTTCATCTCTATTTATGCCGATGGACATTCCCACCGATGAATGATTTTTTTTAATTGAAATAATAATTTAATGGGTGTAATGACAACACTTGTGAAAAGATGGATCATGCTAGAGTCTTCAAATTCAAGAGCCAATTCAGATGATTTTCTTTTTTTCTAATCATATTTTTACTCATTGATAAATTGTATAGAAGGTGGAAGAACTTGAACATCAGAATAGAGCCTTGTTTTTTAATACAGTATGTATGGGTGGTATTCTTGAAAGTGGACTAACTTTGGTCCATGGTGTAATCCACTGACTAAGTATGGAATGCCAAGTGTTCATATGTATATGTTTTTGAATAATTTAATCTTTCACTAAATTAAAATAAAATGTAAGAAAATAATTAATAAACAACAATATAACTATGATATAATTATGTAATCATGGTAATTTAGGGACATATCAAATTAATAAAAAATATATTCATATTGACACTTGGCATTCCATACTTAGTCGGTGGATTAAACCATGGACTAAAGTTATTCCGCTTTCGAGAATACCACCCTATATGTTTAAAAAATGAGAATGTTCAAGGGTATATATTTTTTCTGTAACTCGCTTGGTACGAAAACAAGTGAATTTTTTCAAAATCTGCAGTCTCATATACTGACATAACGAAATAAGAATAACTTTGTTCATGTATTTCCAGCTTCTTCATGTATATCTACTAGACATTCTTTAGATGAGGTAATGACAGGAATTCCAAACTGCAGAATGTGCTTTGGATTTTATCGATACCATGCTACATGTATTATGAAATCATACCAGATTAATGTAACTTGTTTGTAAGCAGACATTTTTTTCTCCATGAATTCTTCAATCTGAAATTACTCTTAATTAATCACGTCACTGTTTTCCTATGACAAATACATGTACCATTATGTACTTCAATATTATGTACAAATGATTCAGGCTTTTGTGCATAGCTGTTTTGTGTTAAATTATTCGAACTACAACAATTTTTCCTTCAAATGGTATTAATATTCATAATATTTGTTTAAAAACATGAATTTTATTGATAACGCAGTCTTGAAAAGACCAATGTGACAAGTCAATTTATTAATTTGTTTTCTGTGTAATTAAGCACTGTATGAACTATATGAAGTGTCAACATGAAATGCACACAGTAGCAAGAAATGTATTTTTGCTTTTGGGGGGCATGTGTGTGTGTGTTTTGTTTGTTTTCGCTCATGGGAAGAGAAGATGTAAATGTATTGTTTTTATTTACGCCCACGTAAAGTTATTTGTACAGGACTATTGCGTAAATGTAGATACATATTGCCAATCTAAACTTTATATATTATCAAGAATGATAAAGATGACTTATCCACCATATTGTATCTCTTAACGGAGAGAAAATGGAATATGAAATAAAACTATGAAACTATAAGCTTACCAGTATCATTAATGAATGGAGCGTCAAAAATGAGGGAGAGACAGAGAGAGAGAGAGAGAGATGGACAGAAAGGGATCATTTGAGTAAGAGAGTGTAGGAGAGAAAGATAGACAGCAAAAGGGGAAGAGGTCAATAGAAGAAATAGTGAGGGGAGAAAAAATGGGGTGAGAGAGAGAGAGAGAGACAGGGGGAGGTTAAATATTGACTAATTTCATCATCCTAAAAGAACAAGTGAAAACTTGACCAAAATGTTAACAAATTGATTGAGAGAAAGGAATTGTGACAATTCTCAAGCATGAGAATTAAACGATTTTTGAGAAGGGGAGTACGGTAAGTGTAAGGGGAAAAAGTACAGACTGTGGCCGAGAGCGAGAGAGATTGAGAAAATCTTGAGATGCGGAAGAAAATTAGAGACAGAAAGGGAGATAGTTGCAGGCAGACAGAAGAAAAAAAGCGAGAGAGGTGAAGGTGTTGGGATACATTTCTCACCAATTACACAATCTTTATTAAATTTAAGAAGAAACAGAGGCGGCCCTCCCGGGGGGGGGGGGGCAGGGGGCACAGTGTCCCCCACTTTTTCAGATACCCCAAAAGTGCCCCTTTTTACATAGAAAAAGTGCCCCTTTTATTTTGTAAGAAGTTCCTCTTTTACTTTGACAAGTGCCCCTTCCCCCTTTTCACCTCTGACGAGTACCCTTTTTATTTTTGACACGTGCCCCTTTTCCTTCGACGTGTTCCCATTTTCCTTTGCAATAAGTATCCATGTTCCATTCTCATAAATCTTGAAATTATCTTGAATAAGTGCCCTTTTTATTCTCTAGTAAGTGCCTCTTTTCAGGTACGAGAAGTGCCCCTTTTCACTTTTAATAAGTGCCCCCTTCACCTCTGATAATTGCCCTTTTCAAAACTGAGAGGTGCTCCTTTTACTTTGACAACTTCCCCTTTTTTCCTTTGTAAGAAGTGCCCTTATCCTTTTAATAACTACCCCTTTTTTAAACTCGGATGAGCACACCTTTCATTTTAACATGTGCCCCTCTTATTTTCTAATAAGTGCCCCTTTTCCTTATGATAAGTGCCTCCATTAAAAAGAGAGAGCTCCTTCCCCTTCTCATAACTACCCCTTTCCCTTTCTAATAAGTGCCCCTTTTCCTTATGATAAGTGCCCCCATTAAAAAGAAAGAGCTCCTTCCCCTTCTCATAACTGCCCCTTTTAAAACTCTGAACGGTGCCCCCTTTTCATTCAACAAATGCATATTTCCTTTATTATAAGTGCCCCTTTTACATTTTCATAAGTGCCCCTTTTCATATCTGGTCAGTGCCCCTTTTCAACTCTGATAATTCCCCTTTTAATAATGATAAGTGCCCCTTTTCCTTTCTAATAAGGGACCTATCCACTTTTCACCTCTTATAAATGCCCCTATCAAAATCTGATGGGTGCCCCTTTTCCGTCAACAAATGCCTTTTTCCCATTTTCATAAACGCCTCTTTTTAATCACTGGTGAGTACCTCTTTTCAGGTGAAAAAATGCCTCATTTTCACCTCTTATAATTATCCTTTGTAATTTGACACGTGCTCCTTTTCTTTTCTAATAAGTGTCTAATACTCCCTTTCGATGATTGTCCCCTTTTCATGTAATCATTAAACGTGCCCCTTATTTAAAGCGACTAAGAGCAATTTCCCCCAAAGTTCACTCGCTGCGCTCGCTCGCATTTATAGATGATATAATTATGTTACTTATCAAAGGTCTTTTCAGTCTTCCGTTATGAGAATGTGCTTATAACCCCATCACGATTGGCTTTTTTCCTCTTTATAAGATGTAATTTTTCGCACTGCGACCTCACAGATCTTTAAAATTTTTCTCGCTCGCTTCGCTCGCTCGTAAATGCATATTCAGACATCACACCCAACTGTAAAGTATGATGCTTAAGCGATATCTTGTATGATGTATGAAGAGAAACAAATATTGAAATCATCCCTGATAATGTAATCACAATGTAGGGGTATATGCCAATGTCTAAAAAATTGTATATTTTCGCTTTGAGATTTCCCACTGTAGGTGCCCTTTTTATCCAGAAAGTGCCCTTTTTTGTTGGTGCCCCCCCCCCCCCCACTTTGGAAGTCGCTCGGCCGCCCCTGAGAAGAAAGGAATGAACGAAATATAGTGCAAAAATATACATATTATTCATCGCTGGTGCATCGAGTATTAAAGGTAATACAAAGTTTGGGGAAATTCTGAAATGTGGGTGGATAGTGATTCTTTATAATTCGAATAAATTTGGATGCCCCTGTAGATGTAATATAAGCACTAAAAAATCTAGACCCTGACACACTTCTGTTTTTGAGATAAATTGAATATAAAATTTCAAATAGCGCATACGGCCGTACAATGATAGCTGCGATCATGAAAATCTCACAATAGTTGTGATATATAATTTCCTAAACGGGAAATATGTTCATTTGAACCAAATTCATGACCCCATCCAAACACTTTTTATGATCTTAAAGAGAAGGTTAAGTTCTGGGAAGAGGTGAAACATAATTTGTGAGCGTTATCGTTGTTAGCTATGCAAGTGTGGAAAAACATCAGTTAAAAAATGTTCCCTGAAAAGCATGGCTCTTCAAATGCCTTAATATTCTCAATATGGCATGTAACGGCATAACAATCGGGACGGATTTTTACGCCACATGTTCGTGCAGTCCAATATTATACATAATCTGTGTACAGTGCTCGTAAATTGAGCAAGACTAGGTAAAATTTCTTATCAATTTGATGATTCCAGAACCTTCCAGTTAACACCAATACTTATATTTTATATGCTAGATGATCAACCTTTGCTGATCGATTCCACACCGTTACTTTCACAATGCAATCGCATGACCAGAACTCAACTTAATCTAAATGCTCGAGTTCGTGATGTAAAAAAAAGGAGATATTTCCCATTTCTGTAATGTCGAATAAAGAGTTGAGAATTTGTATGAACATTTCTGAAAACGCATGTGAAAGTATAGAAGGAGGAAATTAAATTCTTCGTGTCACATCCATTTATTCATTTTATTTCACTTTCAGCATGAGAACAATAGAAAAGTTAAAATGACTAGGCGTACGGCTGGCCGGGAGATAACGAGCCTATCCTTTTCTGTCCCTTTTGTGAAGTTTCAAAATATTTGTTTGGCTTCAAATTACCATCACTATCCACGATATGGTGAATTTTATATATATTGTTCAAAAACAAGTTCTCATCAAAGAAAGTTGTCCCATTATAGGCCTACATAATATATTTGTTAATAAAAAAAAATCGTTAACTTTGTAATACTCATCTTTTCCCCTAAAATTGTCCATATCCAACCAAAGTAAGAACATATCTTTATAGTATTTAGGTAATACTAACTTAATGAAATTTGGGTTATAATGGCAATAACATAAGACTACCTCCAAATGGTCTCATTAAGAATCTAAAATATTGCTTCCATTTCATACTTTGATCCCCTGTCACAAGTCTTTTAATCCACATGACTCATTGTACTTTCACGCCTAGCTTGAAATTCATTATTTCGAGTCCCCCTTTCTCGTATTCTTGATACATCGTCGTAATTTTAATTTATCCCTCCCTTTCCATAAAAAGTTAAAACAGGATACTTCAACTTCTTGAAACACCCTTTCCGGAACACTAAAATGACTGAACAAACATAGTGCAATTTAGATAGTGCAAATACCTTTAATAAATGAATTTTCCACACTAAGGTTAGATCACGTTGTTTCCACCCCCCCCCCCCCCCAACTCAGTATTATTTAGGGTACGCATATGCTTGTTCCCTCTTTTTGAAAGCAGCTCCTATCTGGGGACTGCCAACATTTCCAACCCCCCCCCCCCCCTTTCGCGGGCTTTTCGCGGGCTTTTCCTGCCTTGGAGACCCCCCTAAATCATGAAAAATGCTCAATATACACCCCTAAATTCGGAATAATTTCTCAGGAGTCCGAAGAGATGAGAAAGAAAAAAAAAACTCCTCCTTTTTAAAGAAATATCCGGGTGAAAAAACACCCCTTTTTTTTTTTACAATTCTGGGGCCGGACTTTGTCGCACGAAAAGTACCCCTTTACCGGACATTGTGGTACACGCATGGGGTCCGTCCGTTCTCGGAGTGGGGGGGGGGGGGGGGGGTTCCAACAGTTCAACAGTTTTTTAATCTTACTGAGAATTTCCTAATAATTCATGCTTTCCTTTATTTTGACGTCTAATGAAAGATATACGTAATATCTTTACAAAAATCTGTTTTCTTCCCGAATGGAAGTTGTTATTCAATTTTTGCAAATAAACCTAAAGGCAAGATATACGTTTTTCTTTGTCGACCAATAAGTCCATAGGCTTTATAAAAATATTGAAAAAGTCATTTAATCTGCATATTGATTTTACGTCTTATACAAAATTTGTTATATTATAGATAGATAGATAAATAGATTATTTTATTGATCCATTTTCAAAATATAGAAAATTGGCCTCAATTGATAAACACTTAGGTGTATACGTCACAAAATGTACATAAATTCACACGAGAGTAGTGACATTCGAAAAAAGCATAAATATAAATTACGTAATAATAGAGAAATTCTAAGAAAGGAGTCGACATTTAAAGATTGAGAAGAGAGAAAGAGGTCGAAAGGAGATAAGATTGAAGAGCGAAATATTAAGAGGAGAGAGAGATCGACACACAGAGAGGACAGAGGGAGACTGGGGAGGGGAGAGAGATAGATAGAGAGACAGAGAGAGAGAGAGGGAGAGAGAGACAGGGAGAGAGAGAGAGAGAGAGAGGGGGACTCGGATGGAGAGATAGTTAGAGAGAGAAAGAGAAAGAGAGAGAGGGGGGGGGGGGGGAGAGGGGGAGAGAGAGGGGGGGGGGGGCGAAAGGTGGATACGGTGGAGTATATGTATATAAATACGGGGAGGTGGAAAGCCCGGATTGAAAGAAAAGGAAAAGGAAGGGGAACCGTAGTTGTACTTGTACGAAACGACAGTCATGTAGATAAATTGTTATAGTATTTGTTTGACACTTTTAGTATACCTTCAGTTCGATCGTTTGATCTAGCGCCCATTTTAGAGACACGTTTTGGGCTCTAAGCCGAACAGAAACTTTGTCTGCCATGATGATTTTTTATTCAACCCCCCCCCCCCCCCCCCCCCCCCCCCCCCCCCCCCCCCCCCCCCCCCCCCCCCCCCCCCCCCCTGAGCAAAAATAAAAAAATCGTGAACATCCCATAGAAACGTGTGTTAATTCTATAACACATGTTTCAATAGGGTGTCTAAGAAGTTAGACTTTACATGACGGTTTCGAAAAACTGGCCCCTGCATGGATCCGCCACTGGCCTACATAATAATCTACATCAGTACATGTATTTTGGGAATCCCAGACAATATTGGAAAAGTGGGTTGTCATAGCTCCCGTCATAGCTGCATGGACAGTCCACGTCGTTAACGTTATACATTTTAAATGCACTAACAAGCATGCACTGCAAATGAGCACCTAAGTTGATTCCTCAGCACTATACATCCTGAACGTCGTAGAAGTAGAAATAGAAGTATATTTTTTCTTATTTAGTTGCTTGTGTAAAGACACCATGAACTATTTTTCGTCGCTGTTAGAATGATAATTTTTCATCTAGAACACGGCATTCATAGCTTATTTTGAGAACGTCCAGGACATTTTAAGCCATGATTGTAAGTATTCGATGAATTTAAGCCATGATTTGTCTTGGATATCTCAAGATTTTTTATCTCTCCTGCAGAAAGTGCGCTGTTCAATTTTTTGTATTGTCCCATTCCTTAACTTTTGTGTATGTTGATGGGATCAAATCAAATCGCTCTTTTATTGTTTTGTCGACGGGTCTAGGATAACCGAGTTCTTCCTAAAAAGTTAGACCGATAAATATGTCTTAGTGTATAGAACTTAACAAATTTCACTCATACGGTAATCGAACTTACTACTTTAGTGACAATCAATAAAATAAAATGCAGTCAAAACTAAATTATTTGGCGCTAATTGTTCAGAAACCTATCCAAAATTTAACTCCGGCGTGGAGATGCCCCACTAAAACATACCCAAAAGGAAGTAAATATTCATCAAATGTTTAAATAAAGATCATAAATCAAAATTTGTTATGTTTATTACCTGTTTCGTGTCAATTTTCTTGTTATTTGGGGGGTATTTTTTTGAAAAACGTTGCTATTACATTTTCACAGGTTTCACGGCAAACCACTGCACTATACTGATGGTGGGTTGCGGGCGAGCGCACGCCTGTGTGAAGTTATCTACAGTAATGTCTCAGATCCTCATTATGGTAGATAACTTCACACAGGTGCGCGCTCGCCCGCAACCGACCATCAGCATGCACTTGTATTGTGCAGCGGTTTGCCGTGAAACCTGTGAAAATGTGTATACTAATATCAATGTTTTTCCGAAAAAATTGGGATCAATCAAACAGAAATTGGCAACTCTGTTATAACATTATTTTCATTTCAATTCTGTAATTGTGTTATTTGACTATGCTTGCACGCCTTGCAGCCAAATGCTGAATTGCACATGTTCACAACAATTTCTCTATCATCATATAACATTCGCTGTACAATTAAAAATTGCATTCAAATTCAAATGACAAATTATAATATAATGCTTAAATGTAAATTATTTTTTTTGTTCATTCCATGAATTTAAAGTATTGAAAATAGAATGTATAGATTAATATCTAAAAGAATGGAATGGTAAAGTAAGACATCGTTACAACCACTTTGCTTTGATAAAATTGTACTTCTAAAGCTCTCACATAGGATTACAAAATTACATTGGATAAGTGGGTTAACCATTCTCCCTAACCTCAATACATCAATACACCTATCACTTTTTCTTACTTTCTTTCAGTTCACTGAATTATGGCCATACAGGAAGTGATTAGCCAAGAAATGACAAAGCCAACATAGACTGTTTCTCTTGGCTTCCATTAGGACACTTAAAGATAAAGGTGAGTTCTGGTCATCCGATTGCATTGTGAAAGAAAAGGTGTGGAATGGATCAGAAAAAGTTGGTCATGTAGCATGTAAGTATTGGTGTGTACTGCAAGGTTCTGGAGTCATCAAAATAATAATAAATTTGGCCCAGTCTTGGTAAAGTAACAAGCACCATTTACAGAAAGATGTATATGGGACTACATAAATGGTGTTGGGCTACTAACCTTGATTTCCTAATCTTTCTGTGCTCATTACTCAGCCAGTATACACCTTCTACTAAAATTGTGTGGCAAATGACATTTATTTGTAATCTTGAACATTCAGTGTAAGTTTCGTTTGATTCTGTGAGAATTCATTTTCTTTTTTTTTAACCAGAACTCACCTTTATCTTTAACACTCCAGGATACTTCACAAGTACATCTTATGTCCTGAGATATTCATGCGACATTCAAACCCAAACCCATGACAATGACGAAACAGGTTGCAATAGGATCTTGGAAACCCCACGTGCCATAGAAAGTTTGAGCAACTGAGCTGTATCACAAGTTTCCATTTTCAAAGTGAAGAGGTAACACCAGGCAGCATGGAAGGTGAAACTGATCCAATCGCGGAGAGCCAACATAATGAGGGTGGAAAGAAAGAACAAAATGTATCTACAGTCCATTTCAACTTTGGAGGTCGTACTGAAAACGCAATAACATTAAATCTAAATTCTTTAAATACAAAGTCAACCTTTGATCTTTCGAATACAAACTGCCAGCAAGCAACATCTTTCTTCATGGTGCGGTCTTTCAAATGCCTGAGCTGCAGTGCATTATTTACTTCTGCAGAGGACATAAAATCACATGTAAAGACACACAAGAAGGAAAGACCGTCACAGCAGTCACGGAAGGTTGTTGAATTGGTTAGAAATGATGATTCCTACTTAAAGAGTGTGAAAAAACCTATAGGCGGTGTGGACAGTGCGACATTAACCAGCATGCATGGAGCAAACAATGCATGTAAGCTGGGTGATAGTATCATGAATTCACCCCTTGCTATCCAAAAGCCTGTGATGCTTTCTAGAAGGACTGATGGGTCGAACCCTGAGCCAGTGCTATCCAATGATAAGATACAGCCGCAACCCTTTCTGCCTAAACCTTTCATACCCACGGTCATCAGGGACATTAATCCTGCTTCTTACGATGTAGCTTCAAATGAACCAAATTGCCATGCCACCAGTGATACTGGTCCTCTCGATGGTGAGGCCATCCTGCCAAAGGATCGGATGTCGGAAACTGATGGGGTAGGGATGTGTAGAAAATTGCAAGAGACTCATCAAGAGTCTACTAAAGAAAGTCCAGTTTCTGTCTTAGAAAGGATTACAGACATGACATTTGATGATACAAACACAAACCCAAGTACAGCTGCAGAGAGTGCTTCTCTTCGATATTCATCATCTAAACAAAGCAGGGAAGATGCATTGATAACTGAACTGGATGATTCTATGTTACCGATGCCATGCTGTAGGTGTGGAATATGTAATGCCAGTTTCTCATCAAGGATAGAAGTATCAAAGCACATTAAGATCACACATTACAGATGGTCCTCAAATGAGTATAGGCAGGAGAATCATGGAGAAGATGACCAGGAATGTCCAATTTCTGATTTGATTGAACTTCCGAGTGTGAGTGGCAAGGCAACTTTCTTTCTTCCTGACTTTAATGACATTGACAAATTTCTAAGAGGGTCTCCTTCTGCAGACCTTGCTGATAAAGAGGATCAGGTACTTACCATGAAAACTGTGAATGATGAACATCCCACTACCAGAACATGTGATGTCACACATCTAGCTACTGTTGGTACTTACTTGACTTCTAATCCTGATGACTATGCGCATGGTCCACATTCCAACAGTGTTGATGATGTTTATACAGGCATTGCAACAATTAATGCCCATACCATTACTAACGATAGATATGTCTCTTCTGGTGGTACTTGGGAGAAAGATGGATGCGGTAGTAACGTCAGGATGGATTCCAACACCAGGACATCAAGTGCAATCAGTTGCAGGAGAGATGATAAAGGACGTAGGCAATTTTCAGACAGCTTGGTTTCCATACAAAATGATCTTCGGTATCTTTGTGAACTATGTGAATTGAATTTTGCATCTTTTGACACTTGCAGCCTTCATATGAGAACTAAACATAAGAAAACACCTATGCTGCCTGCAGCACTGCAGGATTCCAATGTGAAGCAGATAGAGCAATCTTTCTCTTTCGCTATCTTGCCCAAAGTTTCTGACACATGTTCCAGGAATGGCCCCAAGCGTATCTTCATTTGTTCACTTTGTGGAGACCAGTTTTTGTCTTTACGATACTGCAGCAAGCATATTAAGGAGGAGCACCTTCCACAATGTAGTTCAGAGACTGACGCCAGGGGAACAGAGAGAGATGAACAGATCGATGAAAGCACTTGGAATGGTTTAGGAAAAGGTAATAACTGAGAACTTAAGAATAGCAGTTCTTTTAAAAATGTTTTTATAGTTTTTTAATGTTTAAAATATTATATCAGATTTGAATAGTCTCTATCGTTTAATTGGGAAAATTTGTGAGAAAATAATGTGGTAGTGAATAAGATACAGATGTTATACTCAAACATTACATTCCAATGTGCTTGTGAGAAGTATCAAAGTTTATCCGAATTTGTTTAGTTAACTATAACTTTAATTTAAAAAAATACTTTTTGATTTGATCAAAGTCACTATTTTCGCTTCATAATCAGGAATTTGTTTCAATTGGTTATGGAAAGAATCAGTGGTGGTCACCACAGTGCCATGATCATAAAGCTTAAATCGCAGTTTAGTAGAAACTTGTTGTAATAAGGATATTGGGACCATGATAATGACCTCGCTATATCTTGATAATGAATTTCCACATTATTCATCTATCAGTGTTATCAAGTTGTGAAAATATGTACGTATTGTTTTGAAAAAATATATTTTGTACATCTTGAAGAGTCTTACGAAAGTCACAAAAATATCATCCATGTAAAAGTTGTGAGTCTATGGAATTTTTTCTTACCGATGACTTATGGAAAAAATAGTGTTAATCACACATTCGGTTGGTTCCTTTAATTAACTTTGTCTTTAATTTTGTTTTTTTGATTTTCATTACAATTTCTTATCATGCAGTTCAACTCATGAAGAGAGAGGAGCATGACAGAGAGATAACAATGGACCTCTTACTGAAACTGACTCAAATTATCCTGGCAAGGTACAAATCTAACGAACAGACAGATGATGATGATGATGGCTCGGAAACAGATGGTCAAGTGACAGGTGATAGCATAGTAGGAGATAGTGCTACAGGTTGCTTGAGAGATTTACAGTGTGCAGCTGAGGAAGATTTTGAAGCCATAGATCACGTTGATGATTCAGTTTCATCAGAAGTAAATCCCGAGGACGCACTACATAACAATGATGAACTGTCGACGGAGCCAACATCATTGATGTATCATTGTTTTGTCTGTCCTGAACGTTTTCCATCTTTCAGGGATTGTGGGAGACATATGATTAACAAGCATGCAGAAGATGAAGAGAAGTGGGAAGAGGTGCTAGGCTCACACCAAACAACACTTGATCAACTTAAGAATATGTATCAGGTAAATGAACATCTTGAGGAGCCTACAGACAAAGGGCTTTTAGGAGAGCACACCCTGAATGAAAGTGCCACAACAAGTGGAGAGAGAAGACACAAAAGCACTTCTTCAAATAAGGAGAAGGCATCAGAGCAGTTACATGGACCCACCAAAGATGAGACAGGTGATGGGGAGTTAAGAAGGCAGAGACTACCTGATGATATTGGTACAGTAGTAGATGATGGAGCAGCAAATCTTGAAGAGCCCTCTCCAAAGAAGATGAAACATAATCTAAGGAACCTGCGGTCAAAGGATGTCAAGTTAAGCAGTGTAAAGCAAAAGGTGGTCCAAAAAAGGAAAAGAGTGCAAAAAGGAAACCAGGAACAAAGGAAACGTAAAAATCAGGATCAAAGTCCTAAAAGCCCTATGACTGTAGGCTCCTCAAAAAGTGGAGAAAGAAGACACAAAAGCACTTTTTCTAATAAGGAGAAGGCATCAGAGCAGTTACATGGACCCACCAAAGATGGGACAGGTGATGGGGAGTTAAGAAGGCAGAAACTACATGATGATATTAGTACAGTAGTAGATGATGAAGCAGCAAGTCTTGAAGAGCCCTCTCCACAGAAGATGAAACATAATCTAAGGAATCTGCGGTCAAAGGATGTCAAGTTAAGCAGTGTAAAGCAAAAGGTGGTCCATAAAAGGAAAAGAGTGCAAAAAGCAAACCAGGAACAAAGGAAACGTAAAAATCAGGATCAAAGTCCTAAAAGCCCTATGACTGTAGGCTCCTCAAAAAGTGGAGAGAGAAGACACAATAGCACTTTTTGTAATAAGGAGAAGGCATCAGAGCAGTTACATGGACCCACCAAAGATGAGACAGGTGATGGGGAGTTAAGAAGGCATAAACTACATGATGATATTAGTACAGTAGTAGATGATGAAGCAGCAAGTCTTGAAGAGCCCTCTCCACAGAAGATGAAACATAATCTAAGGAATCTGCGGTCAAAGGATGTTAAGTTAAGCAGTGTAAAGCAAAATGTCCAAAAAAGGAAAAGAGTGCAAAAAGCAAACCAAGAACAAAGGAGGCGTAAAAATCAAGATCAAAGTCACCTCGAAAAGGCTTCACCATTCCAGTGCTCTGAGTGTTCTGAAATCTTCAACAGTGCCTTCCAATTAGATAAGCACATCAGTGGAAAGCACTGTGGCGTAAGTAGCCTGAAGTGCCAGAAATGTGCACAGTATGCATCCACTCCTGCAGAAGAAAAGTACAGGAGCATTCTGGAGGAGATTACAGCTGTAAAGGAAGACATCCTTAGTAGGGGATTCAAGAAAAAGGGCGGAGCTGAAAAGATTGAACATTACTTTGAATGCGTAGTCTGTGGTGATGGCTTCCGATACAGAATGCATTTTGATAAGCACCCATCATGCCATACCGAATATGTTTGTCGGATGTGCCACCAGGATTTCTCTTCGTTTACAGCTCTCTCCATGCATGTCCACAGTCATAACTGCGGACCCCTTCCCTGTGATGAATGCGGAAAGACATTCTATAACACCAACTCATGGCTGAACCATGTGCTGCAACATAAGAAGGAGCTGCAATGTGACATTTGTCATGTGACCATCGGCAATCTACAGAACCTCAAACGCCACAAAATCACCAAGCACCATGTAGGAGAGAAGGACAGTTATGAATGTGGTGAGTGTGGCAAGACATTTCACTTCAAATACAAGTACCTGTTGCATATTCAGAATGTCCATACCCCATATGATCCTGAAAACAACAGTGACTACCTGTGTGACCACTGTGGTATGAAACTGAAGAGCGCTAGCTATCTCAGGCTGCATGTTTTGACACACCAAGATGTATTTACCTGTAAGCAGTGTGGATGCTGGTTCAAACAACAGTCCCAGCTTGACCTTCATAAAAAGCGTGCCCATATGAATAGCACCTTCATTGAGCCAGAGAATCTTACATCATCACAGCCAAAGGATACTACTCACCTAGACACAAACATTACTGAGAGAGGATCTGTTCTGCAGCAGCCCAAAGGAGACAAGCGCCAAAGGAAACACAAGAGAAAATCAAGATTGATGCACAAGTGTGTTTTCTGCAAGACATATTTTAGGTCAGTGAAGTTAAAGATTAGTCATGAGGGACGACACAAAGGAGTTGCATTCCAATGTGGAAAATGTGATGCCCTGTTGCCGTCCTATGAAGATTATGGGAATCACTTGAGAAACACTCATGAACACCCAGAGCAGCTTTATTACAAGTGCAGTGTCTGCCCAAAGCGTTTCCAAGCACCCTGGCAGTTGGAACGTCACTCTAGGAGACATTGTACCTGCAAGAAGTGTGGTCTAACCTTTGAAAAGATGGACCTTTTGATAGAACATCTCGACACAAATGATGACTGTGGTGATCCTCTTAGTACTGGCAAATCCTCAAAACACATGACACATAGACATCCATCTCGTGTCTCGAACAGATCCAAATGCTCCTACAAGAGTTCTTCCCCTACCGACCTTGCTGCCTCTGCTGCCCTCACTGTCGCTGCTCAGGAAAATGTACCTTCTAATGTTTCTTCGAATGTATTACCCTTGGAAGGAATAGAAATGATGGACAATCTGTCAGATGAGGATGGAGCTACAGACCTACTAATGTCATTAGCAGGCTGTGTCGGTAACTGAACATGCTGATCCATCTCGTACCAAAAACTAATGTGTATGCTTGCACAGTGCTGTATTTCATGTAAATGTAAAGGTACATGGATGTTGTATTTCTAGGACATTTCATGCACATGTCACGTGTTTGCTCTTCCACCTCTATGCAGTTGAATTTCACAACTGTCAATAGCAATTTGGCAAGCTGAATTGGGGGTATTTAACAGAGGATGTAATTGAATTAAACTTGGGAATGCTCTTACCCGAATGGTGAAATTTATCCAAGATAGTTTGTGCTTGGCTTTATTAGTTTAAAAGTTTCTTCATCTTCCTTTTTATTTTCAATGGGACAAGGGCAGTTGGGGAAGGGCTGGTTTACGGCAGGGGTAGGGTCATCAAACTTCACATCATGAAGCTGATTGAATGTCTCGGGTATCTGCAAACGTGATGACAGGTGCAGTTAGGTTTATACCTTGGTTTTGGTGGTCATTTTATTTGTCTCCAGTTGTAATAGGACCACGTGAATCATAATAATAAATGAGGCAGGTTTTTTCTTCACTGTATTGGTGTATAAATTGCCATGGATATCTGCATTATTTGAAGTACATGTTCATGTTCATGTAGTTTGTGATTCATTTCAGCAAGAACTGTACTGAATTTGGGAATAAAACGGGGGGTTTCTTTTAATTTTAATGCACAATTACGGCCTGTTTGGAACTCAATTAAATGTTTCAAGAGCATAAAATGTTCAAGGCAAGAGGGTTTCTTTGTAAAGGAATCGATATGATTTTAGATGAGCCTTACTTTCTTTCAAATTTACATTAGGTTCAATGAATTGTAATTCCAAATTATTGGAGTCTGGATCGTTGTGGCATACTCTCTTTTCTTAAAGGGCAATCCAACCTTTTTTAATTATTTCATTTGTATGAGAAGGGAAAGATAAGAGAAACAGAATGGCGAAAGTTTGAAGTAAATCGAACCAATAATAAGAAAGTTATGAGCATTTGAAATACGAGATCACTATTTTTTATTCTGAATCACGAATTGACAATTTGGTCACTGGATTCAGACGTAATTCGCGGACAACTCTCTTGTTTATCGTGTTCAAAATATAGACTTCTGTTTTGTCTCAAAATTTATTGTGGTTTCCATATATCATCAAAGGTTCTATATAAAGAAAAGACCCTCCTGAGTAATGAATTTTGAAAAATCTATTTTTTGGGTAATTTTTTGTGTTGGAACTATTAGGAAGGTTGTCTGGCACTTTGTTACATTGACACTGCCGATTCAGCCAATTTAAAGTGCCCATACGTATAGTGATTGCAAAAAATTGTCATTGATTTTTTTCTCTACTTTCACCAATCTGCTTCTTTGTTATATCTGCATACTTGTAGAGTACATGTATTTTACTATTAAGATTGAATTTCCCTATAACCGTACAATTCCTGAATTATATATGATAAAAACATCTCCGTTGTTACTGTATCAGTTGTTTTAAAAATTGTATCAGTTGTCCTTGTATTTGAAATAATGAAGATGAAGGTTGTCATCATCACCTCTTTCATCATCATCATCAGCAGCTTTGTCATCATTGTCTTCACCGGAATCTTCATTACTTTCATCATCTGCGCCATCATGATTATTGTAGTACGTATCGCCATTTGGCTTTAATAGTATACTCACACACAATACACAGAGACAGTTGCGTTGTAAACAGTTAATACACAAATAAAAAATGTGCTGCATCAGAGCAGTCACTGGACATCTTTAAATGTCATCGTGTAATTTATTTAGCTCCAAATATCATATTGGCGACGAGGACAAACCAAAGACACATCACAATCATCATCACCAACGACGTCGTCATTGTCATCATCATCATGATAGTCATTATCATCAAAGCTTTATCATCCTCACATCACCTGAACCTCTGCCAGTATCACATCACCATTATCGTTATCATCATCACCAGCTTTATGTACATCATCATTAAATAGCTTTATCATCCTTACATCATCATTATTCAGTAAAGACAACCGCTTTCATGAAATATTTTGAAATAAAATGATCGAAGATATACAGTGTGTATCAAAAAATTGTACCAAACTTCGGTAGCTCCTAATGATAAAGTCATAACCAATATGACTTTGGAAGTAGATTAATATGTTTTCTGTCCAATGATACCCTATTCATAATATTTGTGCCACGGGTGACTGAGTACCAGGGTCTTTTAAAAGTGTTAACATTGCTTTGTACTAAGTTTGGGCTGATGGAACGAATGTGGGTCAGGCCATAATTATGCATGTGCTTCTTTGGTCTTAAATCATTTTAAAAGTTTAATTATGCCTTGTGCTTCAGTGCTTCATTGTTTTAAATGATGCAATGTATCTACGCATTCACAGAACCTTGTTTCAATCCATAGGATAACCTTAATTATTTTGAACAGCCTAATTAACTTCTTGTGTCATGATATCCAAGTTCTCTCTGCTCACTTGTCCGTTGTGCCATTTCACACGCGTAAGGAGCATACTATACGGTGTTTATCTCGAATAGCGAATGAAAAACCAAGGTTACTAATCCTACATGCAAGAAAGAACACATGTTTTAGTCTCAAAGAAATCGACAGCAGACTTTCATTTGAAAACAAAAAAAAGCAACCGAGTTAAAAAAATGATCCATTTAGTATTATTCAATCAATGAGAAGGGTTACCTTAAACAAGGGTGCGACTGAAGTCAAGATTGTAATCATCATAACGAAGTGAATATCATAAATCTTACTTATAATAAGCATTTAATTGAGTTTGAGTTGATATTAACACCTTTTCTTTTCAACTGCCTAATAGTCCAAGTAAAAAAGTGAGTAATTGCTGGAAAAGATAAAACACATAAAACGATTGTTGACCCCCATTCATTACTTCCGCCTAAACTTGGTACAAGACGAGTTACCCTTTACCATTGATTCAAGGTCACATAGTCTATTATACGCACTTTATATATATATATATATATGTATATATAAGTGCGACAATTCTCAACTCTGACATGACAACGGGTGTTCCAGAATATGTAGGCGTGAAGAAAATGGTTTAATTTTATTTTTTTATTGGGTTCTCAAGGATAACATAAAAGCCAACTGGCTATTTACAATCATGTACAGGAATATGAAATGACAATAACATCATGTAGTCCACTACAACTCAAATACAATTTTTGTTTAAGGAGGCTTAACTAGTCAATTACATATTCACATTTAGACTTAATTTTTATCAAAGATATAAGACCATGAAAGTTTGGTTTCTCTTTTTTAAATTTGCAGCAGTGTATGTAGAATCTGGTACACAATAAGAAGAAGTTTATACATATTGAATTTTGGTAGTCCTTGGGACAACCAAACATTCCTTAAAATCCGAGAAAATAACTTCTTTTTAAAGTTTTGAAGATAGATAATTTTCTAGGACGGACCAAAGTGGCTTTACAACTTCACTAGTTTTTGACATGTTTGATGTCATGCGGATGAAATGAGCTTTCTAATGATGTCATTTTTAATTCATGTTTAATTCATGTATAAACTTAGGTTTATTCTTTTCAGTAACACACCGTAGTTTTAAAAGACAGGTGACTATTGTAAACGTGACTGGAGTTTAATATTTAAGAAGATGCGTACGTACGATTAGCATTCTGAGACGTCATTTCTATCCAGTCGTATACATTTATCGCATTGACTTGTACTGTCATATTTTGTAAACATGATTTAGGATTTGTACTCTAATATTGTTCTTAATGTTAGTTTTATATATACTGTATATAAATGTATATATATAGGCGTAAAGAAAATGGTCTAGGAACGTGAGACGTAGCTGTACTTTACAATTTTATTACGAGCTTTCGACTTGTGAGGCCTTCTTCAGGTTCTGAAGTGCAAACACGTACAAAAACAAATACATTATATTATGAACAAATATACATGGCATACAAACTTAATATCACTCAATCATAGTCAAGCATCATGAACATAGCTAAAATTAGTACGAGAAATACTTTCGGAATAAACTTAGAAATGATTATGCAAATTCAAAATGTTTTACCTTGCTTGTGCGTTGGGATGTCGGTGTGTTTATTCAGTTGATGTGATATATGTGGAAGTGTAATAAGGGATGTGCGGTCAAGTGTGTCACAGGTCAGTAATCCACATTCTCATTTTTTTATGAGACAAAATCAAACCACACTTAATTTGATCAGTGAATAGAAATCGACACAAGTCATGGGAGTATTCTCTTCGCATGTACGTTTATACTGGCTTATGCCGAAAGAGTGGGCAGCGTCGCGTCGCGGCGCGTTGACTTGAACGCGACTATTCGTCCAAATGACTGATATGCAAGACTAGGTAAACACCTTTATTAGACATTTTAGATATCATAGTAAATTATTTGATTGTGTTTCTTGTTATTTATTGATTTAATTCTTATAAACGCCTGATCTGCAGGACTACGTAAAAACTAGTTTGATTTAATTTTTAATCTGTTTCTATTTTGATTATTTGAATTTAAACGACTTAAACTATTCCGTAAGTTCTATTATAAACGACTGATGTTGAAGACTAGTCACGCACCCTTTCGGCCAAACCGGGGGGTGGGGGGGGGGGGGGGGGCTTTGGACGAATAGTCGCGTTCGACGCGACACTCCCAACGCACCCTTTCGGCCAAACGGGGGTGGGGGGGGGGGGGGCTTTGGACGAATGGTCGCGTTAAAGTCAACGCGCCGCGACGCGATGCTACCCACCCTTTCGGCATAATTTTATAAGCCAGTATAAACGTACATGCGAAGAGAATACTCCCATGACTTGTATCGATTTTTATATACCTCACTTAAGAAATCCAGCCATCTGATTGGTCGAATTGCATTCATAAACTTCAACTGTTCCTGTAAAATTCTCGGTAACCATGCATAAAACATTTCAATATTTTTAATAACCATGGTTATTAAAAAAAGTTGGTCAGCGTCCATGGTTACCCCATAGGTTTACATGTTAAAAAATGATTTGAGCGATGGAGGATGCCGTATGTGTGCGAAGGATTGGTCGGTAATTTCAATACAATTGAATCTCGATCGATCTTACCGACAATTTTATCTTGCATTGTTGACATGAAGACGAAAATAAACTTCCAAAAACAAAAAAACAACATCTGCCGATAGATCTTGATCTAAGTTCGTGCCAATATGCATTGCAAAAGTAAAAGAAGAGTCCGTATATGGAGCTTTTGCGAAGCATTCATCACACGCGAAGCCGGTTTCAATCCATTTTAATGTATATATTGGAGAAAACTGCCAAGCATGTTAACGGCGGGCCATAGCCGAGTGGTCTAAGCGTTGGTTTTCGGTACACCTTTTGTTGTACGCAAGAGTTCGAATCCCGTCTTCGACAAAATTGATAAATATTTTTAATTTTTCATTTTTTAGTCTATTTTTTTCGGCATATAAAAGTATTAATGACTGCTAGTATTAAAAACAACATCTGCGGATAGATCTTGATCTAAGTTCGTGCCAATATGCATTGCAAAAGTAAAAGAAGAGTCCGTATATGGAGCTTTTGCGAAGCATTCATCACACGCGAAGCCGGTTTCAATCCATTTTAATGTATATATTGAAGAAAACTGCCAGACATGTTAACGGCGGGCCATAGCCGAGTGGTCTAAGCGTTGGTTTGTAGTACACCTCTTGTTGTACGCAAGAGTTCGAATCCCGTCTTCGACAAAAGTGATAAATATTTTTAATTTTTCATTTTTTAGTCTATTTTTTTTCGGCATATAAAAGTATTAATGACTGCTTTAATATTCGAGAAATAGTTGTTTTCATACGCTCTCGGGAAGGTTACAATTGGGCTATTCCCCTCGGCAAGCCTCGGGGAATAGCACAATTCTAACCTTCCCTTGAGCGTAATAAAACAACTATTTCTCTCAAAGCAGTCATTAATACTATACTATTCACTGATCAAATAAAGTGTGGTTTGATTTTGTCTCATAAAAAAATGAGAATACGAGGTCAACGATGATTCTTTTTTCCAATAATTCTGAATTAATTCTTCTATTTATAAATAATAAATCAAAATATGTTTATCTTATTTCAACAATTAATTCGGCAGAAACGCTTCAGACTGTCTGAAATCAGACTCATGTGCGAATCATTGATCATGCATAGTTTTTTACATTTTTTAATTTTAATTTTTTATTGGGTTCTCAAGGATAACATAAAAGCCAACTGGCTATTTACAATCATGTACAGGAATATGAAATGACAATAACATCATGTAGTCCACTACAACTCAAATACAATTTTTGTTTAAGGAGGCTTAACTAGTCAATTACATATTCACATTTAGACTTAATTTTTATCAAAGATATAAGACCATGAAAGTTTGGTTTCTCTTTTTTAAATTTGCAGCAGTGTATGTAGAATCTGGTACACAATAAGAAGAAGTTTATACATATTGAATTTTGGTAGTCCTTGGAACAACCAAACATTCCTTAAAATCCGAGAAAATAACTTCTTTTTAAAGTTTTAAAGATAGATAATTTTCTA